TCATTTGAAGCGTGAAGCGGACGGAAGGGGTACGAAACACATCACCTAGGAAAGAAGACTGCAGAATAACTCAGTGAATAAAACAAAGAAAAAACGATGAGATTAAAATAGTTGAAAACAAAACCGATAACAGAGTTAAAACCGTCTATAGCCGGCTGCAACACCTTTTATTAGCAGGTTAGTGTTATGAGGGTTTTGTGAGGCATGTCACTGCAATTTAAAAACGAAGCTGCCGGTTAAAGATATTTTACAACGATCGCCGAAACTATGATTGACCCAGCCCATTTTATACAACACCATGACGATATTTAAGGATCAGCGCGAGCAATGTCTTGCAATGATAAGCCCGTTAGAAAGAATTTGAAACAATGATTATAACAGAATAAAAATAATCAAGAAGAAGTATGCATGTTACCAAAACTTATTATACATAGTTGCTTACGTTGAGCTAGTCGGTTATTGGTTCGATTTAATGCCAATTTGGTTTCATCGTCACCAGAAGAACTGTCCATATGAAATGGGATTCCCTTGCCTCCGGAACGTTGCCTTTCGTGTGGTACAGAATGACGATTACGGTGACGATCCTGGTCAGGTTCGGAATCAGATTGTATGGTTTTACCACAATAATTCGGACCTCGAACTTCCGGGTCGAAATTCTGTGGACTCGGTGGACGCGGTTTACGGCGGATTTTCGGCAGTGTGGCATGCAAACCGCTGAACATTCCAAATCCAAACATATTAAATCCAGCTTGAAGTGCATCACCCCCGGATACAGTTGCGGATGATCCCGAAGTGAAGTACGAACTTGTGGTAGTAGGATGAGGCATAGATGGGGCACTATAAACTGCACCGGTCAAAGCTGTATTATTGGTGGCCACGATTTGGGAGTCAGGAGGTACGTTCTTATCGTCGTGGGGTGGGACATTATGGTCTCCCACAAGACCGATGGATTCCGACTTGCCAGTCGTCGTGAACCGTGGATCCAGAGTCTAAAGTGTGCATAAACATGTATTCAAAACTGCACTCAATGAATTGTCAACACAAAAACACCGAAAGCTAAGTAACCGAACCAACAAAATGGATCACAGACAAATTACAGAACACATTAGGAGTGAATGACAAGATGGGCTAAAAAACAAAGGCAAACTATCAATCACTAGACTACAGAACTAAAGAGAGGTTGCTGAAACCATTAGGTAGCAAATTCTTTGTTCC